GTACTGTTTCGTAGGACTTTCTTTTCTCCGTTCCGAAAAACTTTCTTCGTTTCATTATATGGCCATGGCGGTTGGTGCGCTTTCCGTTATATGAAAAATTCCCTAGGGGCATTCGTCGAAGAGCCCTGGGTCCCCAGGGAAGGTGGGGTCGACGCTGAAAAATGTCGAGGGTAAAAAGGTACGCGAACTTGAGCCAGGAATACTGAGTAGGAATATGCAGCTGCGAGAATGCGCAAATGTCTACGTGTGTACAGGAGGGGGGTGCAGCTGCATCTACACATAAACGTACACTCGGAGAATAAAACTAGTCACGAAAGGATCACGAACAAGGGATAAGTTCTAGGGACCCTAGGAATAGGTTGGGTCTTGATAGGAGATTCCTAGTGGTGGTTATATAGCAAGTTGACGGCTGACGCAATTAAAACTTTTCTACTTCCGGTTAATACGTCTCTCTGTTCCGAGAATCCTCGACCCCTTCACTGAACCCTCAACCAACCTCCCTCCCTCCCTCCCCACCCCACCCCACCAAATACCACGAAGAGTGTCACCAACTTTGAAGTCGTTCAATTTCATTGAATCCCCATTCGCAGACGCCTCCCCTTTATTTTTACATTCATCCCCTCGTCCCTTCGCAACCCCTACAGCTCCGTACCCTCAATCCTCATTTAACGCATTCCAGAGAGCATGTATTATTCATCGCCGGGATTGGTCGAGGCGGAGAGATTTTTCTATTTTTATCTAATTTTTTGTCCCGTCACACCGCACCCCTTCCAGCTCACTCGAATTTCCCTAATAACGTCCTAGGGATATTTTCTTACTCCAATACAACTCCTGCCGTGGTCAGACTGTCTGCCAGGAAGTTGGGTACCCGACGTTATAAGAGGAATAACGAATGGTCGTTAGACGCAAATCAAAGGGGGTGTGAGATTGAATGAGCAAAGTGAAAAAAAAAAAGAGACAACCTTCGCATCCGTACGAAATAACGAGGTGTAACGGATGCTTAGACAAAGCCGACGTTAACGAGAGCGCAGAAAAACCACTAGAAAATGTCTAGAGCGACGGAGAGGCGCGAGCTCTGTAGGAATAATCCGATAATAATTCCCTAGATGCTTTACATTAATGCATTGTTTTTGGGTATGCTCGTCGGTATACCAGAAAGTACAAGGTACGTGCGCAGAGGTGGGAAGCGAGGGTTAACGAGGAGGACAAGGGTGGTAACGGGCGGTTGATTCGAATTCCCCCGTGAAAATGTTAAATAGGTAGACTGCCTTTCGTATCCTAAAAAAAGGTCGTGTTAAATTTTATCGAAGTTTCGATTCTAGCATTCTCGTCGTTTTACTCGTAGACATGCAGTACGAAACTGCGTTCGCAGCTGTCTCTCTTGTCGCCTGGGAAGCGCTTGTTGCTCCGGTATAATAATAAAAATATATTTTTTATTACATTCCACGGTCTCGCGGAGAACGTGAAATTCTGGCGCAAGTGGATTGCTTCGGGTTAAGGGTTGCCTAGACGGCTCGTAAAAGGTGGCCGGGGGTAGTTTTTGCCGCTGAAAAAGATTTATTTATAACCGGCCAGCAGAGTTTTCTTTGACGAGCGAAGCGTGCTTCGCAAAGATACGGACTACGCGCGGATGCTGTTACGGCGATATTCGTGACTGAAGGGTTGACGGGACGTCGCGGGGGGTGGCGCGACGGAGCATGGGTCCTCTTGCATTGTCAGTGCCGTCCCGACGGCTGGAGGGCGTTCGTAACGTAACGCCGTACGTCAACCAGCCCGAACCTTATCGAGCGCTTATCCTTCTGCGCTAAGCGGTTTTTGAATATCTTCGACAAAACCGTCAGCCCGGGAGCAACCCTTCTACTTATTGAGGGATGACGTTATCCACCCCTAGTGTCCCGGTCCGTAACGTTGTGCCGTTCTAAGCGGAAAACTCTCAACAAAAAATTCAGCGCCGCCTACTTCGACTTGCTTTGGCTAAGGGCGATGGAGGTAGGCTCCCCCCCCCCTCCGCCCTCCTAACTCCAGAACGTGCTATGGATTTCTTTTGGGGTGACTATGGACATACTAACCGTCCTAAGGAAACTTCATCCCCTCGTCTATTTTTTGCCTCTTTTTTTACTCCTGTCCAAGGGGTTAAGTCCAGTCGGCCCTCCTGGCCCTTAATTAACCCTTATTTACGAGGCTGTCCTCAAGACAATGAGCGTCCGGCCGTTACTGAGCTTAACGAAGACGGACGTAAATACGAGATAATGTTTAAAGCTTTACCATCCCCTAGCGTCGTGCTGGGGGTGAGATTACTTTTTTTTTTATGATGGATCATTCCATAAATCCAGCATCTACTACCCTTCATATGTACAATTATACGCCGTTGTAAGCCTGTAGCTAAAGACCACTTTCATCCCCATTTCATGGTAAGCCAGAATAACATCAATATCATCTCTTAAATTTAAGGTGAAAATACACTGTACAATTAAATACCCCAACTTTTCCTTTTCCATTGACATCGATTCCCGGATCGAAGAGTCTTCCGGTTTGGCCTAGGGATATTTTCGAAGATACAGAAACGTTGCCAAAGGCAGCTTGGCGTCTGAATTTTTAGCCTGTATCGCATATTCAAGGGTTGAAACTACCCCCCTCCCGTCGGTACACCAAGGGTAGTGTACAGGTATAACAGGATAGAGAACTGCATCAAGAGAAATGTTCCCCCCTGTATAAACCAATTGGCCTTACCCTGCATCTCTTTTCGATTCCAGGACGCCGACGTTCCGGCAACCCCTATATAACGCAATTCCCCGACTCTCCTCTACTACCCCCATGTACTCTCAAGACCATCGCCGGAAGTACCTAGACCCCCGCGAAATTTCCCGAGACACCTAGAGCTCATCTCTCTGTACGTTCATCGGATCCCGCAAGCCGGTATATCTATATCTATATAACCACCCTCTTTGCCATACACGTATTCACGGTACAACCCTACGAGAAACCCTCTCGGAGGGAACCTCTCGACTACCCCCGAGTTAACCGAACCATCCTACCTCCCATATCTATCCATCCCTCTGTCTTCCCTCGACATCCAATTTCCATAGCATTAGGCTCCTTACACACGTAAACGAGGCCCCAACTCGCCTTGCCGTTTCCTCACGGCTGTCTGAGACCTTCAACCAATAAATAGAGGAAGGGGGATGATGCTTTTCATGGGGGGTGACTTTCCACCCCTGTCACTGAGCACGATACTAGCCAGCACTAGCCAATCACCCTGGCTATACTATTATTGTAGCTGTATATTATGTATATTATGTAACGTCTCTGTCGGTAAGGTAGAACAATTTCTTTAGTATGCTGTTAAATACGATAGGGGATGAATTTTTTCGTTATCACGGTATCCAGATGCCGGTTTCTAATCGATTGACCGTAAGGGTGGATTTCAGTTAGGGTTTCAGCGGTTGGCAGACGTTAAATTTTGTCTTTATACAAGTTCCTCTTAAGGTAACTCATATTCGTCTTTTCCACCCCTAAAGGACCTGCACCTGATCCATATCCACTTGATTCTTTATCACTTCGGCTTTGGTTTAACCCTGGTCTTATCGCAAGTATTTACTACCCTCTGGTATAGGATCAGTAAATTTTCGTTTTTAATCGTTCACCGGGATAATCCGCCATGTATTAAGCTCGGACGTGCGTAAAGGAAAGACAGTTTTCTCGGTCAAATTTTATTCGTGCTGGAACGAAGTTACGATTATTAAAGTTCGATAGAAATTCCCTAGTCTAGGGGAATAAATGCGCTCAATTCGTATGTAAATACAATCGAGGGTACGGGTGCTTGTGGCTGAAATTTATATTTCAGTAAGGGTATCGATGCCTCCTGTCATAAATTCCCTAGCTCCGTTTAAGTACGTAAAAAGTTACTAGGGCTTTTGCCCGGGATCTATTTTTCCTGTATACCTCAGTCCTACCAACGCCTGGCACTCGCCAAGTAGATAAGGCGCGTTTCGGCTCGGACATTCGTACTATTAATCACTCCCCCCCCCCTACCTCCCCTAGACAGCGTGGGGGTGAGAATTTACGTATACCAAGCGGAAGCAAGGAAGGCGGCAGAGCCAAGATTTTCCCCTTGCAGTCTTAGATGGTATGGAGGTTCCGGTTACTAGGGGGTTGTTACGGTGGGTACGGTATATATATGGGGGCATTCGTGAAGTGGTAACTTTCCAGGGAACTTAATTGTGCGTCAGCCCGTATCCCCTTGGCGGAGGTTAGTTTACCCGAAGCAACCCTTAACAACTCGCTATACACCGGCTGAGCAGGAACCGCCTTACCCGTCATCCCCCAGTACAAAGCTCCGAGCCCCAAGTTCAACCCTTTCTGCCAGTGTTAACTTCTTCGTCAACTCGATAATTTTGGGAATCGCGAGCAACCCTCAAAAATATATCTTTTGGATTATTAATTTCGATGGGCCCGAGAGCTAGGGCCCGAGTCTTAACAAAGTAATTAGCATGTACCAACCCTTAAACTGCTCGTGACTATGGCAATTACATGTAATTACAGGCCTTAAATGCTTTATACACGACTTCATCCCCCCTAGGGACGTCCCAATTTTTTTTCTCTTTTTCATCCCCCTCGCCACTCCACTCCATTGGCTGGCAGGAGGGAGAACTTTTCAAAGTTATCTTTTTTTTTTCCTTGCTTTTCCAAGGGGTGGGGACTAAATTCCAGCACTAGACAAATTGCCGGCTTGTGTGCTTCGAGTTACTCGAGTACCTTCGGTTGGATGATTTATCGGAATTTCCTACAGGGGGCGACCCTCTCGCTCATTCTCTCTTTTCTAGTGTCTTGTTCGTATATCTATATTACTCGCGTACGTATACACGCACTACTAGGTAATAGGTAGTGAAACTACGAGATAAATCAATCGCCGTGGAAGGGATGGGATTATAAAAATTATTCAAAAATTTTTGTTTTCCTAACACCTACTACTACTTTCTCTCTTTTTTTTTTCTTTGCAGAACCTGAAGAACCAGATAATGACGACGAACGTCTGGGTGGAACAGGTGAGTTTTCATGAACAAATATAATATAAATTAACGCACGTGCTATTTACCCTCGTACGTGTTCTTCATTTTTTTGCCACCCTTCTCAATAATTTACGCCAACGTGGTCCATTCTCGATTTCTTTACTCTGGGATCCATTAAGGATTTTAACGAGGTGAGTTTGGTGTCAAAGTACGGCCAGAAAAATTCCCTAGGCAAAGAGCAGAAGCTTTTGCGACGATTCACGAATGTGGGTACCTTTTTTTCTTGGGGGG